TGGCTGCTCTAGAGGCCAGGCATAGATAGCTTCTTTTCTGAGGCATTCATCATCTGTGTCAGGGTCAGAAAACTAAGAACTAGTAGGTACTTCAGGAGAGCTAGGGATTGTATGCCTGTGTGTACAAATATAGAGTAGCACTTCTATGAATTTTGACCTGTCTGGGTATATTAAAAGTGATGAGTACGTATGGATACCTTTGCTCCATTCCAGGATCACACGGTTCATTCTAGTTTTTTTCCCTTTCTGTGCTTGTAACTCCTTTCTGTGACAGTAAGAAAACTGGCTTTCAATATTCCTAATATATTTCCTATTCAATCCATTCCCATTATGTAACCAGTCGCATTCTTCATTACCACACCTTCTCCCATGTGGACATTTTCTTGCACGTCTGTTCTCGCTCTTATAACCCACATCAGTGCCCTGTCCCCCACTCAAAGTCCCCCATGCAAACTCCTCAGTTGTCCTGTCCCACCTAATGGCTCAGGGCTCAGTTGCTCAGAAAGGGAAGCAGATGGGCCAAGATAAATCTCTTGATTCTGTCTTCTATTACTCAACATTTTCCTTTCTTCCATCTTCCTATACCAAAGAATACTACTATCCACCTGTTTACCTAAGCTCAAGATCTAAATGCCCTTGAATATTTGCCCTTCTTCCCCCTATTCATGGCTATTCTCAGCTAAATCATGAGCAACAACTACATTATATTTAAAATCTGTCTCACATCTTTTTATCTCTCTTCATTTTTACTGTACCTATTAGTCTCCTCACTGATGCTCCTCTTTCTACTATGTCTCACTTCCCATGATTTATTCTTACAGAGCAGCTGGCACGATCTTTTAAAAGCGTAAGGCATACTGTCCTTTCCAAGCCTCTACAATAGCTAAGATCTAGAAACAACCCAAGTGCCCAAGTAGATGAGTGGATTAAAAAGCTAATTCCATTGTGTTACACAATGGAATCCCATGCAGCTGTAAAAAAGAAGAATCTCTTACCCTTTTTGACAGCATGGATGGACCTAGATACTATTATGCTAAGCAAAATAAGCCAGTTAGAGAAAGACAAATATCACATGATCTCACTTATTTGTGGAATCTAAAGAACAAAATAAACTGATGAACAAAGTAGATCCAGAGGCATGGATGCATGGAACAGAATAACAGATCTCAGTGGGAAGGGGTGGAAGAGACAGGAAGAGATTAACCAAAGATCCTATATGCATATATTATAACCCCTGGACACAGACAATAGCCTGGGGAAGGCTTGAGGTGGGGCAGGGCTTGGGTGGAGGGGGGCAGAGAGGGAGAAAATGGGAGACATCTGTAATACTGTCAACAATAAAATAAATTTTTTTTAAAAGCGTAAGGCATGATGTCCTTTTGAACCCTCCACTGGCTTCCCATTGTACTTGGAATAAAATCCATATTCCACCTGGATGTATGGTGGTCAGTCCTGGCTGCACATTAGCATCACCAGGGGAACTTTTAGAAGCACTAAGCCTGGGCCCACCCAAATATTCCAATTACATCAGAATATTTGAGGGTGTGGCCCGGGCACCAGTGCTTTTTCAAGTTCCTGGTGAATCTGGTGGGCAGTCAGGCTTGAGAATCATGCCTTCCTCTAACCACCTTCATACCTTCTTCTTCCCTCTCATGACTGGTTCCTTTCAGCTTCTCAGAGTGACCTTTCCCTGATCACCTCATCTAAAGCGATGTCCTGTGTCACCAGTCATCCTCTGCCGTGTTACTCTGGTTGAGCACTTCTTAGCACTGTCGTTATCTGAGATCATCTATGTATTTCTTATTTTTTTGCTATTAGAGTATAATCTTTACGATACATTTGCTCTCCACTACACCTTGGTGCCTAAATTAGAGTTTAATAAATAAATATTTGTGGAATGACTATGTATAGAAGGGAGAAGAGCCAAGTGAGGGCCTGTCATGTGGGAGCCAGGAAGTGAGAGAAGTGTTTGCACAGGAGATGAAATGGAACAGATGATGCAGTGTTGAAGTATGGGGAAAATCTGAGAAACCAGATAAAGTAAGCGTCTCTGACAGTGGAATTAGGAACTCTCTGATAGCTCAAGTCAGAGGGGACGGATTTTTCCTGTACTGGGGCAGTACCAGGAAAACAGAAATGACGGTTTCCCAAATGGAAGAGCAACCCGTAGCATAGAATCACTTTTGATGTTCACTATGGTTGCTGTAAACTTACTCATCTCACCTAAATGTTGGTAAGAGTAGCCCTCTGGGCTCAGCCATCCCCTCATTTCAGTAATGTGCTAACTTCAGGGAGCATCTGAGATGCCTACCAGTTCACATCACTCATTCATTTGGTTATAGCTGCTTGTTGATATACCTTCTCTACCTCTTTGCATCATGATACATTCAGAAGCCTAATCACATAACCATATTTAACTATAATTATCCTGCTTTAAACATTGGGATTGATTGAAAACTTGTATTCTTGGCTATATCACAACCCAGGTTTGTAATGCAGAAATGAGCAAACATTCTCTTGACAAAACTTCAGTGATACTTTGTGCTCATTAAGAGAAGACAGGGCTCCTTGGAAAAGACACTAATGCCAGGAAAAGGAAAAACAGGAAGGCTGCAGGAAGAGAGGAAGACCACATATGAAATGGGTTGACTCCATAAAAGAAGCCACGGGCACGAGTCTACAGGAGCTGAGCAGGGCTGCTTAGGGCTGGACACTGGGCATCACTCATTCATAGGGTCGCCACGAGTCGAAGACGACTCAACAGCACATGACAACCTGAACTATTACCATATCCCTTGCAGTTATTAGCAATTGAATTTATGGAGTCTTTACAGTATATGATTAAAACTCTAGATTCCGGCAATACCCTGCTGCTGCCTAATGCCAAGCAAAATGTTCCCTTTTACAAATTCAGCGTGATAATTGTGTGCCTTTAGATAAGGGTTTTATACTTACCACGATCTAGAGGAGACTTAGGAGGTAAAAAAAAAAAAAGGTTTTTAAAAATGACAGGTTTAGGAAGCATAATTCTGTGATGAATGGCTGTGCGAAAATACTGTTTACAAAAGTACAGGTAAATTGCTCTCTGAAAGTGAAGTGAAGTCTGTATTGTAACAGCTTGGTTTTATAGGACATTGAGAGAGAAAACTGGTTGGAAAAGACTCAAGAGGGAAAGGGGGGGAGAGAGATCATATAAATTATTTAAAATGTCTGTTTTAGTAGTATAAGGTGACTTGTGGAATGTATATGTATATGGATGAAAATCCAGAGTCATTCATGCAAAAACTCATAGTATTTATGAAGGTGTTAAGAGGCTGTGTTGCCTTCTGTCTTTTTTTTTGTTGTTGTTTCTCAGCTTGCCTCCCTCTCCCCCATCCCAGGGTGAAGATGAAACCATTTACTTAGGCAATAGCCATTGTCATGTGTTAGCAGACCCAAGCAAGTATGTGCCAGTGCTAAAGACTCTTGAGACCCGGGAGGTATAGTTAGCGTGGTGTTATTTAGGGTGGTGTTATGTCTAGATCTCTCGCACACTTTGGCTTTCTAATCTGGGAGCAGTATTTCCTGTTTCAATATCTTTCTCTCAATCATGGGCCTTGATGCAAACCTATAATGATCCCACAGGACAATGCTCCATTTCTCCCTGTAAAAAACAATAGCCTAATTTATTAAATTTCTGAATACTGTTAAAAATTTTTGAAAATGTTATTAAATCTATGTGCAAAGAAGGTAAGTTCAACTTTCTACTTGTAACATGTCCAAAATAGATTGTGTGACTATTTTCTTGATGATTTTACATAGAAAAAATTACAAGAAAGGTCTAGAACCCTATTAGCAATTACCTAACATTATTTTAATTACAGCTTGTATCTATTCCCTGTGTGTTTATGGCTGCTTTACACATATGTGCCTCTTACAACAGGATGCCTGATGGGCGTGGGGAATAAGGAAAATTATTACAGTGAATTACCTATAGTAGGTGTTCAATAAATATTTAATATAAACTATGTTTATGGACAGATTAAATTGTATACTCTCTCTACAAAATACAGCAGTGATGGTGAACCTTTTGAGCTCGGCGTGTCAGCATTTTGAAAAACCCTAACTTAACTCTGGTGCCGTGTCACATATAAAAATTTTTTGATATTTGCAACCATAGTAAACAAAGATTTATATTTTTGATATTTATTTTATATATTTAAATGCCATTTAACAAAGAAAAATCAACCAAAAAAAATGAGTTCGCGTGTCACCTCTGACACGCGTGTCATAGGTTCGCCATCACTGAAATAGAGGGTGAGAAAAGAGATATAGGTATATGTGTATTTATTGGAATTTTGAAAAGGAAGTTAAAACCTTTTCTTAAAGCCTCATCAAGCAAATACATAAAACCTTTATTACTGTGGGGGCTGCTTATAGCACTGCCAAGAATTAATTTGAAATGTTTTATTATTGATTTCATTGTTTAAGTGCAAATATTTGTATATATAAGATTTGCTTCCCCAATTTAAAGTTGTTCCATAATAGTTATTCTTATGCTTGGAACGAGAGAGAGAGAGAGAGAGAGAGAGAGAGAGGAGAGATCATATAAATTATTTAAAATGTCTGTTTTAGTAGTATAAGGTGACTTGTAGAATGTATATACATGGATGAAAATCCAGAGTCATTCATACAAAAACTCATGGTATTTATGAAGGTGTTAAGAGGTTGGGTTGCCTTCTGTCTTTTTTTTTTGTCTATCCTTTCTCCAAAGGAGCAGAGATGAAGCATGATTCTAAATGAATTTTAAATCCTTTAGTTATTAGGAGAATAAAGCTCTAAAATTGATCTAGATTTTTATTGTATAATAAACCAAAATGTGCATAATCTGGCATATTACCTGTAAATTGTCTCTTGGATTCCACCTACTGTTCTAACAGAATGTGAGGATGTATATTGCTAATATCTTTATATTATCCCAGATAACATAAAGGATTGTGTGTTCTCTTATACCTTGACAGGTTGGTACCGAGGATATACCCTCCAAAATAAAGCTAAAAAGGTATGGCTTATCATTCAACTTTTGAGTAAATCTGTCTGCTAGTTTCGTGTTGTGCTGTCTGTCCCATATCTGCTCTCCGCTGTCTCTAGACCGCGCTTGCTGTCTCTTTGATGGCTATTCTTTAGATGTGAAAGCATATCCTCTGGTAAAATAGTGCATATACCGTCAACTATTTCTTCATCAGCCAACTCAGGATAAAGGCCCAGAGGTGGCCTCTGCAGGCTTCTTGCTCCCTGTCCCTCAAGCTCATCAGTGTGGTGATACAGTGACATTGCTGTGGTTGGCTCTGTCTTTCTGGTCAGGCCTCCACCTTGTCCTCCTCAGCCACACTCAGTATTTGCACTTGCCTGTGTACACACACACACACACACACACACACTGTTAACTTTGACAATTTAATAATCTACCAAAATAAAGGAGTGTTTGCTTGTAATATGAATATCAACTCAATTGGTATTTTGCTCCTTTGATTCCTTCCCAAATCCTGGTGCTGAATGTTTCTACCCACAGATTGTAGCCTGTACCATATGCCTTCATTTATAACTTAGTTATTTTCATTTAATGTCTTGCTGACTTTAATTTCTCGGGGCCTTCAAACAGGGGCCTACGATGGCGTGACCTAAAGAAGACCTTTCTTTCCGGATGCTGGTTACGCTGAGTCCCTGGTTTTTACAGCCGTTCTGCTTCTTGGTTTGGGTTTAATCCCATCAGTGTTTGTTCTGCTCATTACTGTGGAAGTGGTAGTTATTTTAAAGCATAATCAGAGTTAATTATTTTGAAGTTCTAAATTTATTAAAGGGCAAGAATACTTATGTCACTTAATTCCCTATCCTTTAAAAAGTTAATTTTTTAAATGAACAAAGAAACTACTCTCAGATAAAATCATATGAATTTAAAGAACAAGCAACATTTTTTATTTTAACTGGTGACTGTGACTCATGTTGAAACAAGGTCCCAGTCCACAGCTTTTCCTTTCAGAGTCTGTAGTGTAAGGATCCTTCATGAGCATAAACGACTTTGGTTTTTGTTCTTTTTTTTTATTGATATCAGAGAGAGGAAGGGAGAGGGAGAGAGATAGAAACATCAGTGATGAGAGAGAATCATTGATTGACTGCCTCCTGCACACCCCCTGTTGGGGATCGAGCCTGCAACCAGGCATGTGCCTTGACCAGAAATCGAACCCTCACCTCCTGGTTCATAGGTTGACAATCAACCAGTGAGCCACACTGGCCGGGCACAACTTTGGTTTCTAAGGCATCCTATGACTTTCTAATAGATCAGGACCCATCTAGCTTGTGCCTTTATTATCTGCTTTGAAATGTGGATAGATGGGGTGCCACTCTAGGATCTAAAGGACAAGTTCTGAAGGTGGTTTTAATGTATTTTCTTAAAACCCTCTTTAAACTTTAAATCTCACCCTATAGGAGGATTATTTCAGGAAGGGCTTCTCTTAGTTCTTGATAATTAAACTTTGTGATTCAACAACATGATAGAACACACAAAGGCTGTGCATTTGCTCATTGGTTGTTAAGTTGAAATATCTTCCTTGTGGGGAGATCCAGGAAAAACAGGGGATTTAAAGTCAGTTGTCATGAATTATGCTCAACTTTTGACACCCCTTCATTAAGACATCTATTTGAAATGCCTTCTAATGTTGTTTTCTTCTTCGTTTGCCAGTCTTAGGGGAACGCCATTTGAAAGGCCTGTTATTTTAATGGAAATTTTTGGTGTCATTTACAAGCAGACATAGCCATTTAGAGTGGTGATAAAATGAGCTAGTGGTTTCACAAATTGAAGAAACCAGACCTTTGTAGAAACAGATATTGATCCTGGCAGGATTGTGAAAGTGTGGATAAGGGCAATGTCTGGAGAATCTTTTTTTTTTTTTTTACACTCAAGTGAGTAGTTTACACTGAGAAAGGAAAAGCAACAATGAGAGATGAGCTGTAAATCAGAACTATGTTACCCAGGTTCATAGTGTGTCGTAATGGCATCGGACAAGTTCTACAAGCCTCTGGTTTATCTGAGCAATTAACTGTCTGTAAGTGGACTTACGCTGTCGTAGGAGGAAGATGCCTACAAATAACATTGTGATGGTAATACAACAAAATAAATATTCTCTTACTATGAAAACCATTGTACCTGTAGACCCAATATAACGAATCATTGTCACAACATGAGTCAGTGTTTGTTTCTATTACAAATGCTTCTATCTTGGACTTCTCCCAGTTATTAAGAGGAAACTAGTTATCAGATTATGAATGCATGAGAATTGCAATTGGTCCTTTACCTTCTTGATCTGAAAAATCTTCTGCAAGGATAGTCCTTGGAACTAGCAGTGTTACATCTTAATGTAACCTCCAAATATGGCTCTTTATAACTACTACTTCAAGTGGTTCATCCTTATCCAGCACTCTACTTTCTTAATGAGTTCTGGACAGATTTTTATTCTAAAATATACATACCATAAAGTTATTAGACACACAAATTAGACACACAACCGACGCCGGTTGAAGTTCACTCGTTTTCTGTCTCTGAATGGATTGAGGATCTCTGGGTACACAGGAATCTTTGACCCAGTCCCCCAGACAGCAAGGTGTCCCTCTGCCACATTTGTGGTGAGCACCCCTGCCATGGGATGGGCCACACTGACTTTAGTAGACACAGGGCTAAGAGCAGTGGAGCCATGGTGCCTGTTAAACAGGTTCTTCTCTTACTTCTCCTGGCCCGGCATGCAAAATACCATAAAACAAAGAACCACAATGCTCGCTCCAGATGGCAGTTTCTCTGCTTATTGATGAGCGTATCTCACAGTTAAACAACAGCAGCTTTTGCCATGGAAGGAAACAGACATTCATGGCTCGCTTCCTGTTGCTTTGATCTGATCTTCATTTCTTCGGTTTCCACTGACCAGCTTCTAGTCCTTCTTTTAGGCCTTTGTGGGCTTTAGTTTTCCCCTGGGCAGTGCCACAATACTGGTGTAGAACTGCCTCCTAAGTGTGTAGAACGGAGAGCAATTTGAGACTGGGAAGTGCTAAAAATAACCAGATAACCAGCACTAATTGATTTGGGGCACATTTGGTTAAAGTGAAAGTGCTGAGCGGAATCACTTTGGAAGATTACAATAATGTTATGGGCCACGACATACAAAGCCCTCCGTCTCACTAATTATGTGAAATCCTTTAAAGGGGATCATCTCATGGCGTGTAGGGTCTGATGGGATTTAGGATCTCACTGTTAAAATCCTCTCCACTGCTGCAGCTCTGAGCTCACCTGGGCATGTTTCCCTGTTCATTTATGAAGCGTTTATCTTAAGCCCTCTGAAGCCAAGTCTTCATTGCCGCCTTTTCAGTGTTTCAGCTGTGATTTCACTTAGGTAGCCTCACTGTGATTGCTGCCCTGCAAGCCCGGCTGCAAAAGGCAGCTACTGTCCAGGAGTTCTCCCGCCCCTCCATTCATTCTCGCTGCCGTCCGTGCCTTCCTCTGGGCTGAGATTTCTATGGCCATGTAACCAAAGTTCTTCTCTCTGTAGGGTATTTTCCCTGAGACGTATATCCATTTGAAAGAGGCAACTGTGGAAGATCGAGGGTAAGTTCCATTTGGGGAAGACTCTAAAAAATGATAAAGATGTAAAATTTTCATTGCAGAATGCCTCACGAACTAGTGCATGATTTCTCTCGACTCATTAATTTGACTTCTCAGATTAGAAAAATAAATAAACACATTTTCCCGGCACAATTGTTTATTCTGTCTTCTGTTCTTATAATTGTTCCTCCCTGGCATCCTTCCCAAGGACAGAAAAGACAGGCGGTGAAAGAATAGGGGGTCTTTACCTTCATCTTGCACTGCCTGTTCACCGATTGCATGTGCATGTGTGCACACATGTTAACGTTTGACACTCCTTTGCTGATAATATCTGAGACCCCTTTTGGGAACTCTCAGATGAGCAAGCTAATGCCTGCACTAGTCAGCCCTGAATCTTGGACAAGTCCGCCAGCCTCAGGCCACCGCGGGCTTGGGAAACAAATCTGGCCCGATGTGGGTCACGAGCTTGATGAGAAATTATGGAATAACGTGCATGAACGTGCTCTACAGTAAACTTCATGTTCAGATATTTTCTTGTTCACCTTTCTGTTTGTCCTGGAAATTCCTGCCTCTGGCAGTTATGAGGAGTGAGACACTCAGCCTGAAGTGGGGGAGAGGCCATGTAGTTGGCGAGCCCACAGCAGGGGAGTTGAGGGAACCAGGAGTGCCCGGAGGCAGACGGGTCCCAGGGCTGATACTGAGTAGAATGGGTCATAGACTCAAGGCTGCCAAACATTTTCAGTCATAAATTCTGCCTCCTGTATTAGAGACAAGAGGTGGAGACATGTTCAAATACACTGGACTCCTCAGAAGCTGAATATGGACACCCTGCCCTCCTGGACAATCTTTTTCCCAGAGGGCCACTCCTGGGCAACCTCCTGTGTCACTTGCTTGCTACAGCCCCGTGGGCGCAAAGGAGGCGTGGAGGGTACTCCCTCTAATTGGAGTTGCCGTGTAAAATGCAGGATGCTCAGTAAATCTGAGATTTGGGTAACAACAGTAAATTTTTATAGTGTGTTCCAGATATTTCATGAGACATGCTAAAAAAAGTAATTGAATCAATCTGAAATTCAGACTTAACTGGGCATCCTGTGCTTTTATTTAAGTCTCACAAACCTACCACAAATCCCCACTCGTTTGCTTGCTCTCACTCTCTCCTTTTCTCTGTTTGCTAATCATAAAAATGCCAGAGAGGATTTATGTGACTGAATGTCAGGCCTACCTTGTCCTAAGTCCCCTGTGAGTCAGAGGAGTTTGGTACGGATACATTTTCTGTGCTGTAAGGCAGCAGATGAGAAGAGAACCTAGTCCCATTCCAGAAAACGCACTGCCCGCTGCCCGCCAGCAGTCTGTGTGGCCCCAGGACCCTGTGCGTGCGCTTCTCCATCCACCCTCCCTAAAGAAGCGGGTGCTTGGCAGACCCAGCCAAAATACTGGATTTGGGCTTCCCTTCCCGGTAATCGCTGGAGACAGCCTGGCTCAGTGATTGACGCTCCCATAGAGATAGATGCAAAATGGAGAGGTTGAGGCTGGGCTAGGAGTCCATTGCTTTGCTAGAAGATGAGTTCATTTTAAGAACTGCGGTGTTCTCTGCTCCTTCTCTTTTCTCAGATGCTTAGGTATGACAGTTTCCTACACAAACCTCCCCGCAGTGGGCAAGTTTTGCTTTGTTTCAAGCCCAGCCAGCCCCATTTCCATCTCTGAGCTCTGGGGACTCTGACCTCTGTCCAGAAGAGCAGTGACAAGTCAGCTCGGAGTAATGCGGGCATTTGTCTGGTTCTCTTTAGGCAGAACGAGACCGTGATTCCCGGGGAGCTCCCGCTGGTGCAGGAGCTCACGGCCACGCTGCGAGAATGGGCTGTCATCTGGCGGAAGCTCTACGTGGTGAGTTTTCCCCTGGGGCTCGGAGCGGGTGGCGTTATTCCTGGGCTCTCAGCCTGTCTGTCCTGCTGCAAAGCCGTCCTCTGCAGGGGGCCAGCCACGTGTTAGTCTGTGGGGACTGGGTGCATCTTACCCGGACCATGCAATGGTTGATAACCAGCAGGTTCCCATTCTCCAGAGTAGGGTCATTGGTGATACGGGGGGTGGGGGGGGTGGGGGGGTGGAGGAAGTGGATATAATCATTAGTTCAGTCTTTTCTCAGCTGACACCAGGCCGATTGTAAAGTAATGAGGATAACAACTGCAAACACTTGCATAGTCCTAAGTGCCAGGAACTATTATTAATCCTACAAGGCTCCTGTAAAGTAGGTACAATTATGACCAGCTTTTTGGTGATGAAACTGGGCCATTCTGTTAACCTCTGTATGTATTGAACACCAGGGGCAGCTATCTTGCAAGAGGCCAAGAATGTTCAAAGTCTGTCAGCAGCAAGCTTGTACCTGTATCCGCTTTAGGATGTGCTTTTCACGACGTCAAAATATACAAACACTGTTTTCTAAAGTTCCTTCTTTCCCAGTGGCCTCGTGGATAAGCATTGCTAGGTCTTGTCTCTGGAGGCATCTTCAGCCTTCCCTGGCTGGCCAGAATTCCTGGAAACGTGCTTCTCTTGTTCTCTGTGAGAATGAGTTCATCCAGGGACCACACTCCACTAGGTGGCCTGGGGCCATTCTCCTTCCTTTATGTGGCTTTTTTTAATCTAGATTGTTTTTCAGTCATGTGTTGATTCTTCATTTTGACTCTCAAAAGCCAATCTTATAAGTTATTGGGAGCACATCACTCTCGACCATGAAGAGACAATAATCAAAAACTCACTCTGGCATAATTCTCAGAGTTCCTGTAAAGTACTTCGCTTCCACCCAGGGCTGTTGTTTCTCAGGGTGGATCACAGCAGCAGAAATCACCAACCCCTTTGGTGGAAAAGCACAAATTTTTCTCTGCCTGCCCATCCTTCAAGGCCAAGTTTAAGCCCTTTCTTCTTCATAATCTGTCTTCTAAAGACACTAATCCATACGTTTCCTTCTGGACTATAGGAGCACTTACAGCTGAACCCATCATCTGGTCCTTCGGGGATACTGCCTTGTAATGCGAGTGATATTTTGATCTTTTTATGTTTCATTGAGGAGAGAGCTAACCTGTACGTTCTTAAATCACAAACCCCAGGAGAATAGAGATGCTGTTTTAGTAAGCCCTTTGGCCTACGTCCATCATCTTATATTTCTACTGAAAACACTCTCTAGTTCTGGTTAATTGATTGGTTAGTGGTGGATGGAATAAGTTTGATAGATGAGAAATGATGTAGACATCAGTTAGCTCCTTAACATAGAGTTCCTGGAAATCAGTGAGTGGTGAAACGTATTAGATAATAAGTACCAGAGAAAAGGGTTTTTTTGAAGGTGGAATGTACAAGGGTGAATGTGGTAGACTTTTCCTCTTGCTAAAACACAGCTCTTGTGCTGAGTTTATTATCTCTGACCTCCACACGTCCACAGGTAATTGTGCCAAGTCTACTCTTGAAATGAGAATAAGGGAACCAGGGAGGAAGAAGTACGATTCATATATTTGGGCGTCCAAATCCCTTAGCAGTTAAATGGCAGTGAGCTCAGGTTTGGGATTTCTTATGTGGGTGTTCCACTATTTGATAACAGAATTGGGTTCTAAGTTTTAAAAAAAATCCATCTCCTGTCAGAGGGTAGCACATTTTTCATCATAATTTTGGCATCTATTAAAATAATTATTTTGTTCTTTGGGAATATTTTAAAAATGTCTTACAGCTGCTATTGGTTGACTAAAATACATTCATTGTGGGAACCTTAATCAACTGATAAGGTTGAGCAGTCTGCTTCTGCTTTTGATGTGCGATCACCATTAAGAAATAATCTACTTCCCCCAGCCAGCCTGGGTCAGTGGTTGAACGTGGACCTATGAACCAGGAGGTCACAGTTCGATTCCCGGTCAGGGCACATGCCTGGGTTGTGGACTCAGTCCCCAGTGGGGAGGCGTTCAGGAGGCAGCTGGTCCGTGGTTCTCCCTCATCATTGATGTTTCTATCTCTCTCTTCCTCTCCCTTCCTCTATGAAGTCAATAAAAATTTATTTAAAAAAAATAATCCACTTCAAATGGTTTTGTTATAAATCATGGTTTTCTCTGTTTTTCCCTTGTTCCTTCCTAAACATTGATGGTTCACTTTAGACAGAATTTCTAAACTTCTTTCTCAAAAATTTGTGTGTCAAAGGGAAAACCTCAAATATTATGCTTCACTGGGAAAAAGTAAAAGGAACCAAAATCTGTAGTTTTTACCACCACCAACCCCCCCCACCACCACCACCACGCACACTTTTTTCCCTGTTTCTGTGTTCTGATTCTGTGTGTGAGTTCCTTCAGCCTAGGTAATGATAAATACAGATTTTTCTCATCTATATCAATACTTATTTCTCTCGTGCATTTCCTGTCACAGATGATGAGCTGTGCATTCTGCTTGCCTCCAACCTGTGGTACCTTAGAACCTCCACATTGCCTATTTCTGTTCCAGGTCTAAGTGCACGAGGAATTGATGTAGACCAAGCATGTCAAACTCAAAGGCTAACATGGGCCAAATAAACAAGGTTTAGGTTTATGTGGGCCGAAAAAAACCCAAAAGTTTTAATTTTCATAGAAGCATAGGTTTATTTCGATAGAGACATGCTGAATACAAAGGGCTGAAATAAATGAGGAATCCTATATATTAAAAGGCTAATAAGCAAATTGTCCCCTTGACCAGGAGTACAACCGGGAGTTTGACCAAGAGGCCGGCTGGCTGGCCAACCGCCCACGGCCCCTTCCCCCGGCTGGCCCCCC